CTGAAGCCATACCCTTCCCAGTTGACTGTTGGGCCTTTGGCCGGTTCGGACGTGCTTCACCGGCTGCAATCTACTCAGATGATGATTGTTTTGATTCCGGAGTGAAGTGATGGATTTATGTTTTATCCATTATCACATATCGACGCCAAAAATCTGATTTATTACGTGTAAACATGACCAAACACTGCTCTGAATTATCAACACGTTGTTGTTTTTGATCGACTGTGAGTAAACGCGGCACCCACTTTGAAAGGAGCTTTCTCATGGTCAAATGTTCATGCATAATTGTAAACACACTGCCTTCTGATATCTTTACGATCTCAGCTATCTTATGCAATTTCAATTTACGATCAGATATAACCAATTTCTGGACTTTTTTGATGTTTTCTGGAGTAACCACCTCAATGGGACGTCCAGAACATTCACCATATTTCTGTAAACGGTGTCTATACGACCATGTTTAAATTTAGTAAACCAATAACAAATGGTTCTTTTCGATGGAACAGAGTCCGGATATTACTTGTACAGTATTTTTTTTCATCAAAAAGCAATAATAAATTAACACACGAAATTGTTTTGAATCCATTGTTTGGAAAATAACAAAAGTAGCATTACTTAAATGACTGTCACTTTTTTTCTGACTAATCGAAATGTCATGGAATTTTACACATAGTCTTTTGAAAGTTAGTTCTTCATAAAGATCATATGTATTTGACAATGGCAGCGCTATCTGTGTGTCAGTCACACGACTTATTGAATGATGTAATATATCGCATATTATTACTGTATTGAGTATAATTTCATGTAATATTCAGAGACACTTGTTACAATTTATCTGCTTAGCTGACGAAGTAATTATTGAAGTTTCCGTTTCTGGTGTACACTCATCAAAAAGGAATGCATGCAAACTCGGTTCACGACCTTGTACTAAGTAAGATTTTTGTAGAATCTGATGAAAAGGTGTTAATAGGTAACGTCATTTCCAGAAATCATATAACTTATGATTTTAGTATATTATTATGACATTTAATATATTGTGGTATTAATGGTCCGGTTTGTTCTTTCCCTCATACTCTCCGCGAGTTGGCGTTTAATGGCCATTTTGTCCAACTCCGTTTTGGTTAGACCATTCCTTTTCGAAATTCCTTAATAGTATTATCACTAGCGGCTCTCCTCTCTCCTCTCTCCTGGTGTTAGTTTCACCAATTTCGAAAGCTTATCAAGTGTTATCAGCAGTATTGTTATTATTTTTAAAACGCGTTAATGGACCAACAAAGTTGATGGAGATAGCAGCGAATCGCTCTTCAGGCAACGACGTAAGCATTATCCTCGCTGGTTAGCCGATGGTAGGCTTATATCGGAGACATGCCTTGCATCTTTGAACATGTTTAGCGATATCCCTCGACATACCAGTTATAACTCCTTTGAGCTCTTGGTATGGTTTTTCGTGTTCTAAAATTGCCATGTCTACATTGTTATGATTCTCAGTTATCATCCGTTGGTAGTGATCTTCAGAAACACACAATTTTTATTCATTTTGATCAGTTTAAACTGTTACACAACTGATGATTTTTAATAGTAGTCTGGATTTTCTTCTAATTGGTTTAGGTGTTTCTGAAATTCATTTGGTACCATGTTTCTTGGCTCTTGAGATATAAAAGTATTACTATTTGGTTTATTTTCTCCATTGGTTACCTTGACAGTGTATCTGCGACTACGTTTTGTTTTCATCGTCGATATTCTATATCGAATTGATACTGTTGTAATTCTAATGCCCATCGAGCAACCTGTAGAATTTCCAATAGAATTGAGCCATTTCAGTGCCAAGTCATCCGTAACAATATTAGAATTGTATCCTTCTATATATATATATATATGTATATAATTGTCAACCATTTATTTTTTGTGGTTAAGTTATTCATTCTGGTGGTAGTCAAGTGTCTTCGGATTTCTGCGGGGGTACCACGCCCAGACCAACATTGGTGGCATCCGATTGTATACGTCTTTTGCTGAAATCTGGGCAAGTATGGGAGTTTCAGTTTCTTTTTTATTTCTTGAAAAGCTTTATGTTGGGGGTATACCACTTCCAGTATTTTCCTTTATTTAATATGCTACTCAACTGGTGCATGATATGCAAAAAATCATGTATAAAGCAACGACACCAGGATAATGCCCCAATGAATTCCCAAAGCTGTGTAATAATCATGGGTGTTTGAAGATTTCGCATCGTGGCCACTTTGTCTAGATCTGTTTGTTTTCGTTTTAATTTTGCAGTACACATTTTTCTCTATATTGATTCTGAGGTTTGCTTTCTTTAAACAACGACTTTTTCGAATTTTTCAATATGATATTAAAACGAGGTGTTAGTGACAGTTATGTCATCTAGGTAAGCAGAGGCATATAATTAAATTTTGTCTTGGCCAAATACTTGGTCTAAAGCTGGCCGAATGGCATAATAGACTGAATGGCAGTATACATCATTGAAAAAGGCCCATTAATTACCACACTAGGATACTTGGATACAGCGTTGCTTTATGGGCCTCTTGACTTTCACCATCTTGTAGGTAGTGATGTTGGATGGTGCAGTATTTGTTTCCAATATTTTCATTTCTTAAGACACAAATTCATTCATTAAGACAATTTCTTACTCTTTCGTTGAGCACAGTTATATTAAAGATGTTTGACTTGACGTTTAATATAATGTTGTGTTTTTCAATCTTGATTGTCGTCCATTAGTTTTTAGAAAACCAAATACTGGTACTACCTTATCTATGCTATTTGGGAGAACTCTCTTGGTATGTTCCATTGCTTTAGTTGTTACTAAAACATGACATTTCGTGTATATTTGTCTGCCTTTCTGACACGTATGGATAATTTCTTTATTTATGTTAAATCCGCGCTCAGTATCAAGTGTTGTTTCGAATTTGTGGCCGTCAAGTTAGTATACTTAATCGACTTTTATTTATTAGTAATAGATCGAAGTTTCTTGTACAAGATTCATATTTTAATCGATAGGATTTCCTACTACTAAACGAGCCCTGTAGTCGTTACGTAGATGTTGTCTACAGCATTTTTTGTCCGGATGTTCTTTTTGCCACATTTCACAGAATAGTGATTTTTGACTTTGACACTACCGCGTTATGTGTCCCTGCTTTTCGAATTTTCAACACGCTTGTTTAGAGTTTAGAATTTTTGTTCCATTAGTTTTCACTGTGTAGTTCCTTTCTTTAAGTGATTGATTCTGGGTTGCTTTGGCATGCTCATTTCGAAATGGTTTGGCCAGGGCGATCAACTCATCTAAATATTCAAAATCGCGACGTTTCATGCTTATTTGGTAATCCGTATTGGATTTGCGGTAGACTCGGTCCATTTGCAGAGTAGCATGTGTCTTAGTATGCCTTCGTGCAAATTCCCATAGCTTTGACCTACGCGCCATTGATCTTCACTAATCTTCTTCATTGATGTAATTCGCTTGTCTGCAGAGTAAGTACTACTCCACTGAATCATTTGTCTCTATTTTCATTTCTATTAGGTACTGTCTCATTTCGTCCTTACAAAGATTAATACAGCCATGATTTACTTGGAGTGGTTGACCTCCATTATTCTAGTTTATTAGCATCGAGATCCAATTTTTCATTGACATGGTAGGTTATTACCTTATTGTCTTCTGTTGAATCTTGTCTCTGTTTGGGCACTAAATATAATGACAAAATTGTTCACTCTCATTTGCTGAGGTATATTCAGCAGCTGATTCTGGGTTCTTCCAATAAATTTTTAAGAAAAGACAGTGTTTAATAGTTTCTGAGTTTATTCATAAATGCGAGATTTATTCGAATATTAATTATAAGTAGTTACAAAAAATATATGTAACTCGATCTTCACATGGCCTGGGATATTCGTTTTTCGTAACTGTGATTAAGTACAGCCCTTCTTATACTCTGAAAATGGACACATGATGGGTTGTACAGGTTAACGTATACACCCCTGTTATAGACGTGTATGATTTTACTTAAAATATATGAGCACCATCATACCCTTAATTATAAATGAAAGGATGTGTTTGTTATTTGTGAATAATACTTATCATTACAATTTTTTGCTAGAGTGATTTCTTCCATCTTCTAATAACAAATCTATGGTAATTGTGTCCACTTTGATACGCACCAGCCCAAACTGTATTGTAGCGCAACTTATTTTATTACAGCTGGTTCGTTTTTTCGTTGCCGTTGATGTTTACATTTTTCTAATTGAATGCACGCGCATCAATATTTCTATTCAGCTCTCTTGTCTTTGAGCCGACGATATTTTATTTTATATTTCGCAATTTTTCTTTTATTTTGGCATTTGTTTGAACTATTCAGTGAAATCAAACTTAACAATTTTTTTTAGCATAATAAAATAATAAAATAAAACCAATAGGAGCGATGTGATTGCAGGTTGCAATTTATTTACTTCACCCAACACCCCTATATAGTCCCTCAAAAAAAAAAAACGAAGGTAAGATTATAAGATAATAATTAAACTACTGAATGTTAAATTTCATTTGTTCAATATATTCGTTTGTATTAACAAAACTTTTAATTTAAGAAATGGGCAATGCAACAAATCCTTCGTTTAATTGGTTATCTACTGTGTATGAAACTGATAATAATACCAAATTCGCAATAACGTCTAAAATTGTTAAATTGCTAAATGGACTCATAGTGAGACTGCATTTTAGACAAAATTTATATCGTTTAAAGCAGAATCTAAAATTATTTTGCTCTGTGGTGTATTAATTTGGTGTAGTGTAAAATTTAAACATTGAGTAGAAATTATTAAGCACTAATATGACACTTTAACATTTTATCTAATTAGCACGAGTTTACCCTGTTAAATAAAAATTATGAAGAGTCCTATTATACTTACTTTACTATACTGTTCTACTTTATAATAAAAATAAATAAAATATATTATGCTTGTAAAATATTATTACCTTCTACTTTTATAAATATACTCACATGCTATAGTTATGGTAGCTGTTTGACTTTTAAGAACACCTCTGGATGACCATGCTAGACAATCACATTTGAATGGTCCTTTTCCAAAGAATTCATCAACTAAATCGCGACCGATAGTGGCTGTTACTTCCTCTAAATGAACACCAGTGTGAGGGTCGACATGTTTTTCATGTACGGAAGGTGGCGGCTGAGAGCTCCCACTACACTTAAAATGAACCTGTTCAATAAATAAGTTATTAATAATTTTATCTATACTTATAGATCGTATCGTATACAATAGATAGATTACTACTATTTTTATGTTTACGTTTGGGCTATTACATATGTATATTAAAGACATTGTTTAGAATTAAGATAAGATAATGTACATTGTATGTAGCCTTTGCAGTGATTGTCTTATTTTTGTAATGTTGAGATGCATTGTGTAGTCCCCTTTTTTGTACTCGGGACTTTCGTTTTTGTGTATTTAATAAATTAGTCTATTTGTGTTTAAAATTAAAGGCAAGAAAGAAGCAAGAAAGAAAATAACGTGACTAAACAGACATCTTACAAGACAAATTATGAAAAATAAATTAAAAGATGAATCAATTATCGCGATCACAAAACTTTTACACAAGGTGTTTTCAACGCATATTTTAAGAACGCCTTAACTTTATATACATTCTTATGAGATTATTCACACTACAAGTGTTGAGAAGTGTTGAGACAGAAATCTAAATGATTACATTTAGTTTAGTTAAAGTACGTTTGATTTAGTTCGTTTGATAAATTTTAATTTGTAAATTTAATTTAGAGTTTTTTTATATTTTTTTTTCGTTCATCAATAAATAAAGAGTATTTAATGAGTAACGTAATGTTATGAAGAGATCTTCTTCAGGTGAAATAAATGCCCATAAAATATTATAAGACTTAAATATTTTTTTTAAACATATCTGCTAATTTTGAAAATGTCCAATATTTTATTTTCTGATTTAGCTGATTATTGCACTAAACGCAATAATTATACACAACCAAATAGTTGTTTTTATTTTATTATTGACACCAAAAAATACCTTTTAAAGAACGGAAACTTTATCTAATTGGAGCGTAAAGAATAAAGATTGCTAAAGGAAAATTAGTTTTGATAATACTTTAGCAGATTTATTAAATGTATGTGATTTTACTACGATATCTTTAAATTATTCTCTTTTGGGGCTACAGTACAATAATTTGTTACTACTTTGTAATCATATATTTACCCTTAAGTAAAGTAAAATACTTGTGCGTATCTTATTTTATTAATAATATTACATCACGTAAACAAAATATATTAGGTTAGGTGATACCGGCGATCCCAGTAGGATCCTCTTAAGGCTATAAGCCTACTGTACTACTGTATTATTATAAACCCAAGGGTTAAAATCATCTAGAACCTTTCTAGAAGGTCCTGAAATTTGCTAAGATCCTCAAAAAAGAAAGCCCCTAAAATGTTAGGTTGCGCCGTGCATGTGCCGGACAGAACCAAAGCAGGTGGGAGGCACTTTCATCATCCTCACCACAACTGCAGCAGATGTGGTTGAAAGGGCGATTTAGTCCCCTAGCAAGGTTACCTAGAATACAATGACCTGTAGGTAAACCTACTGCAAGACTGTTATCTCTGCGGGGCATCTCTACGGGATCGATTTTCTTCTATTGGTATGTGGCCAAATTGCGAACAAATGTTTGCATATCGTAGAGTCTTCCCATCTTTTATTAAAAAGTTCAGCACAGGAAGAACTCAATACCAATGCATGATGTCAACGATATGCCCTGGTGTTAAGGTGTTCCGAGTGGTTTCCTAAAGCACCCCGTTTGGCTAGCTCGTCTGCTTTGCAATTACCGAAAATATCCCTGTGACCGAGAACCCAGATTAGAGAAATATTGAACTACGTTGACATCTCATGTGATGTGTAGCAGTCAAAGACTGTCCTAGATGTAAATTGGACTGAACTCAAGGGCTTTCAAGCCATATATATATACTATCCGATTGTATATATATATTCCTTTCAAATATATTATCTATTTCTAGACAAGCCAAAGCTTCCTTTATGGCAATGACTTCTGCCTGAAAAACACTATATTGATCTGGAAGCCCATAATAAGAGAATATATTCAAACCTTCTAAAACAACTTCACTTCCTACGCCACTCCCAGTTTTCGAACCATCGGTAAAAATGGGTACACCCTCACCTAGGTAGGGGTGATTTTCCACCAAATCTCTCTGGATGGGAATTTAACAATGAATTTCCTATCAAAATCGAGAATGGGTGGTGTAGTAAATGTTATTTAGAGTGAGACTGAAAAATTTTAGAATGAAACCGTGTCAATGGTCACTAGCCCTCCATTGTGAAGTAGCTTTGAGTCTTAAAGCAGGTGATGCTGCCAAATGTGTACTGAAGATGTCAAGTGGCATTAAGTGAACCATTAGATCTAATGCAATAGATGGTGTTGTACACAGAGCACCACTAATGCAGAGTTCAACCCTGCGCTGAATCCTGTTAAGTACAGTAAACTACTAAAATTTATCAAGGGCCGTCAATCATACAGTTATGCCACATAAAAGTATTGGTCTAATGACAACCGTGTATAGCCATTGAGCAATACGTGGTTGTAATCCCCACTTTTACCAAAAACTTTCTGATATAAGAGCAGCGCAATGTTTGCTTTCCTAGCGCGCTCTGAAATATTTTCTTTCCAACTGAGTTTTCTATCGAAAACAATACTTAAACATTTTGCTTTCTCAGTAAATTGTATCGCAGATTGCATCTTAAATTTTTGGAGTTAACCCCAATGCCACAATTTAGTTTCCATTTGTTAAGGATATTAAGGCCATTCTGCAAAATATCCCTTAAGGTGATAGCATATTTTCCAGTAACTGTTAACGCAATGTCATCCGAATATGTGCGCATTCGCTGTAAATGAATGTGGTGAATGATGCGTTTTATTAGTTTACATATGTACATTTCTGTATAATCAGTAGCAATAAATTTATTTATGAAGGATGGATCAATGCGCATTCATTGGTTTTATTTGAGTAGAAATAATTTTAAATAAAATATAATAAAAAAAAGCATTTCAATTGAATGTTTTATGCAAAAGTATTGAAAAATAATAATACGTATGGGACATAAAATAGATATATTTTTTTCCCAAAAAATATGTATTCATTTAGGTAGATTATCTATTTTTCATTTAAAACATGAAACATTAGGAATATATTTTCTTGAAAAAGTAGCAGGATGTATTGCTTTGCTAATGTGAACTCAAAAAACTTTAAAAAGAATTGAAATTTTTAACTCTTTTGGTAGCACACAAAATTCTTAAATAGAAAGCAATTAGTCTCCACAGAAATATATGAATGAATACTTATAATATATTAAATAAAAACACTATTAACTCACATTGTAAAGTAAGAAAATTAACAAAACAAGACTTAGTCGTGTTATATTAATCACTTACAACTTAAAGAACAAAGGCAATATTCTATAGTGTTTATTTTATTTTTTATATTTAAAAAAAACTGTTTAACAATGAAGAGGTATGTTAAATTTAACAGCGACTTAAATAATTCTGTTTGTAAATTTTATATTAAAAAATATGCACAAAATAGACTTTACGAATGAAAACTTAAAAAATTCAAATGAAAACTCAAAGCAATCGAATTTGAAAACAAATTTAAATAAACAACACATTATAAAATGATATACTATGTTCCGACAGCCAAATTTCCTTAATTTCGTAAAAATGAAAATATGTTAATTTCGAAAGTGTTCATACTGCTCCAAATTAAGGAAATCATATGTTTTATTAATAATGACGTTTTTTGTTTACAAATCGAATGTTAAAAATTACATGCTCCAACCACCGTTTGTATCTGGGAAATTTTAAAAGCTGATTATTATAACTATATAGGATGGTATTCAGTAGTTTTTTATTAGCTGTAGCAGATTTCAGGTATGTGAAGCATTACTTTTCACTCTATTTTAAATGAATAACAGTTACATTAAGGTCATTTTCCTTAATTTCGTTCTAACCTCAAAACTAAATTTTGTGCGGAAAAAAAACTTAATTTCGCTGAAACGAAGATGAAATTAAGATTTTTGCGAAATTAAGGTGTGTCTGAACATAGTATTACGTTTGTTTAGTGGAAGTTAAAAATATACCCTTTTGGTTATTTGATGACGAACAATATTTTGATCCTCTAATGTAACCGTTTAAAGTGTTTTCATGTAAAAATGAACTCAAAAAATTTATTTGAATATGTGGAAACATATAGTGAATCAGTGAAACAAGCACTAATTTAATTTAATTACAACGAATGCACATGTACTGATCATACTGAAATGTATGTAAACTAATAAAACACATTATACCATAAATATTATATCAATATGAAATAAGCATAACGTCTCACAACATCAATGCAACTTTTTTGAAACAAAAGAGTCTGTACTCAAAACCATACATGTTATACAGTAATCAAATAAACTCAAACGCACTTGCGACGTATTAATGTGCGGCCAACTACTACGCACACTTAGCGACAGAAATTCGTGGTTGCTACTGATAAAAGGGGAGAGACGAAACCTAATACAAATGTACGGTGATCTAAACCGCAAATTTTACCGCACATTTAACCGCTTCGGCAAATTAATACGTTGGGTTCATATGTATGCAGTTCATATTCGAATAAAACAAATTAATTACTCTTATATACTTCCCAATATATAAAACTCTATTTCTCATATTATAAGCAAGAGCACACGCACATTATTTTGTTCATTCTACTGTTGCAGGCACCTAACGACAGAAATTTGTAAATGCAATTGCTTAAAGGAAAAAATCAAAATATAAAGAAATGTTCTGCAATTTGAGCTGCAAACTTATGAACACACAAAACATGTATAGCAGCTAAAAGAAAAAAATTTATTGAGTTTTCATAGACAATTCTATTTAATGTTTTTGCTAAAACTTTAATTTTTAAATATATACCTATATATATATATTTATATATATATGTATATAGTATATAATATATATATGTATATGTAATAAATAATATTAATTCTCGATGTAAAGATATTTGAAAGAATTTATATATTTTAGTTGACTTCGTGAAAATTATGGCAAGATATGCGCCGCACATATCCACACCTCAGAGCAGTCGTCTCTGATCAGTGGTCATTGGAAACATTCTAT